CAGGCCTTCTGGCAGTGGTCGGTGTGGAGGATCACTGGCACACCGTACAGCTTGGCGACCTGCAGCAACAGTTTGACTGATCTTTTGCAACAAAGCAAAACATAATGTAGATGAATGAATCCTCTACTTCTTGAACTCACCATCTTCTGTGGAATGTTCAACAATCTAGAGCAAAGCATGAATGATAGATGAATGAATCCTCTATATTCATTCAACTCACCATCTTGAGTGATGTTTCCTTGGAAAGTCAAACGACTCAAGTCTCCGAGGCCAAGGAGATGGGCCCACGAATCACGTGGTTCCACGCCTGACGCACGTGCAAAGCGCCCGCGATGGTGCCGGCGATGGAGGCGGCGTCGTCGCTGTTGTCGGCGGCCTTGCCAGCAAGGAACTGGCCACCGCCCTTAGAGAAGGTCACCATCACAGGGCCACCGGCCTGGCAAGGGAAAAAGGTGGAGCAAGGACGCTACTGGGGGGGCTCCTGGCCATCCTGTGAAGGCATTTTGGCCAAACAGGACAGAAGGACATTTGATGAGGCAATTTTGCTTGCTGTTTGGTCTTTCGTCTGAACAACTGTCAATAACAACTAAGTAACTACCAGGACCCTCCGACAGGTCACCAATGGTTCGACCTGTTAGGGTCCAACAAGCCTCAACTAACAGCCTGGCCAGGAGGGTGCTGGTATACAAGATCTTTCCGTCGAATTCCTTCACCTTTGACCCAACGTCTCACAGAGCTCAACGTCTCCCCATCTAGACGGACACTGTGCACCTTCTTGGCCGCTTCCATGCAGGCGTTCACGCTGCTGGAGCTCACCACGTTCACGCCGGGGATGGCGAACTGGTTCTCCTGGACAGCACGGTGCCGGTCACGTAAGGCACGGGCTGCAGGGCGTTTGACGCCTGAACTTCTTGGTTCAATGTAGCCCTTCTATGGTGGGCAGGGGGGATGGCAGGAAGGTTGGGCCCTCAAAAGAAAACAGAATCAGGGGGTAGCCTATAGGGTCAAGATCACACTCGAATCGATCATCAGTGTGGAAGCTCAAGACGCCTCAGTCATGTTTTATGTCTTTTTTTTCTGGTCTTGGTTGTTGCTCTTCTGGTCAAGACGCCTTCGTCTTCCTTCACCTGTCATTCTCTTTGCCATGGGCCGTTCTCCCGGGTCTCCCGGATCGGGCAGCGTGGCGCCATGGGTCCCTCGCCCCAGGTCCCTCGTTCGCGGTGGTGCATGGTCTGGACGTCCAAAGCGAGGTGAAGTCGTGGGAAACATCAAGAACCAAGCAGTTCAGCATAGTTCAGCAGATGTTTGTTGCTTGTGCTCCTAGGATTTCAATTCAGGGCCTTTCCCCATGTTCTGTGTTTCTGCTGGCAGTGGGGTTTGCAGAGTCCTTGGCATAGTTCAGCAGGTCGACCAAGGCCTGTCCGGTCACCACACCGGGCTTCACCTCAGATGAACAGTTCACGCGTCCAGGATTCGGATGTGGAATGACCATGGACACCTCCATGGGATGACACGAAAATCCCATTGACTTGGGGTTCTTCGTCCGAATCCATTCCAACCACCATGGCTTCAATCCAAAGATGACCTTTCATTTTTGGAGCTGGAGAACGAGTGGATCATGTATACCAAATGTCATTGCAAACACAACGTTTCTGAATGACGTTGTTCAATCACATTCAAAAAACGCGCATGGTTTAAGTGGGCCCATGGTTGAAGCTTACTGGTCAACAGGAGTCTTTCGCTTCAATGTAATGTTTCTGAATGACGTTGCATGGTTTCAGCAGGGGGTAACAAGAACCCACCAGAATTCGAAACTGCTTCGGAGTGGGTCCATGTACCGAACGCGACAACCAGTGACCGTGTTTCGACCACCCGAAAGCACCCGATACACGCCCATGACCAGTGCGGACAGGTGCTTCGGAGTGGAGGACGACACGATGGGAAGGTCCCTAGCAGCATCCTTGCTACTAGTAGTAGTGCCCTTATTCCTAGCGATGCCCTTGTTACTAATAGCGTTCTTGTTACTAGTAGCAATGCCAGGAGCTAGTAGCTTCTTGTCGGTATGGATCTTCCCAATCCAGGTTATTCCACGTGAAGTTAGGAGATTTGGATGCTTCAGGTGGTTTCAATCCCAACACGCCAAGCCAGTACACAGCTGCACATCAAGTTGCGGAAGCCGGCATCTTGGTGAAGGTCTTCTCCGCCACGGCCGTGGCCTGTCGCACCACCTGTGCTCGGCGCACGGTGCGCTTGGCCGCCTGGGCGGAGGCCACGACGACGCCAGCGGCGCCGAGCGCCATGACGCCGGTGGAGGAGGAGGAAGAGCTCTCGGCAGGCTGCTGGCGCAGGTGGCGCACCTGAAGCTCCTGAAACTTGATATGTGAAACTGGAAGCCATTCTCAGTTATCCTAGAGGTCCTAGCCTCCATCAGATGTCATTCCATCATCATCCTTGGACTCATTGGACTCTACAAATTCCATCAAATTCCCAAAAAGCTTCAGGAAAGAAACAAAAAAAAACAAACTGCTCCAGAAAACAGGAACAATCCAAATCAGAAGTTTGTAATTCGTCCCATCACCTTCCGTGACTACCCGTCTCGTCTTCTCTCCGTCCTGATTCACCTGCGGCGCGGCGTTCGGAGCCAGGAAGGCCGTGGCAGCCGCATAGGCACCAGCGCCGGCCAGGGCCACGGAGCAGGCTTTGGATGGCATGACGTTCAACGGTGAGGCGAGTTCAAGCGGGGGCGAGGTGATCAAAAGAGCTGTGAGCTGTGAGCAGAACAGATGTGACAGTGCTTCATTGAATCAAGAGGCTCACTCAGATTTTCACGGTTTGGGTGAACATGCAAGCTCTGACATATCGGAATGGTCATGTGTCATGTGTCTATACTTAGCACCAAAAGATAGCAAAAAGGTAGTGAATCAATAGCTTGCTGGATGCTGTGCCCCATAGCTATACCAAAAACATCAAAAAAACCGCTCATGTGATTCACGATACATTCTGCGTTCCCAAGAAAGAGGCGTCTCAACACTGACCCAGCCAGTTCTCTGACCACCTCTGCCCCATCGGTCTCACACTTCGGCGGCGGATGGGGTGGGGGGAAAGGTCCTCACACTTGAACTGGACGGCCACCGCAGCCACCTGAAACGGGCGAGACAGACGCGAGACAAGCATGAACGACTTGCATCGCCCCAGGCTGGAGAAGAAGAACAAGTTTTGTGAACATGGTGACCGTTTGGAAGTATCGTTCCTGCCGTTTGCCACTGTTTTGGAAGCATCCGATGATATCAGATGTCACATGACATGACTTCATCCACTTAGAGATCTGCCCAATCAGCCCTCATCGAATCATTCCTCAAAACCACATGAAACGGATTCACTATAGACCCTGGGAGTCAAAGACTATAAAAAGAATGGTCTGACTAGGGGAACTGATTTCGGGAACTTCCTTTACTTCAGCCGGTCAAAATATAGTCGAACTGGACTTCTAGGGTATATACATCCACTGGAACTTCCCAAAAAAGCAGCGTACCCTCCCTGCCGTGCCCGGATCGTGCCCCGGATCGATGGCGCTCGCTCGCTCGACACAGCCGACACGCGGACGGCGATGGGTCGTTGCTTGCGTTGTTCGTGTTCGGCCAATTCCATGTCAAGCTGCTGCATAGGCATCCGCCTCCTGCCGGTGGATGGGTCAGGATCCCTTTTTGGGACTTCGATCCCTTACGACTCTTGAAGACCCAACAGGTGCTATAGATGGTAGCTACGGATCCACGGTCCCTCCACGTGGAGCGCTACGTGCGCCGGACCCAGGAGTCCTCCGGTCCACAAGGTCCGGTCCAAAGTCCGAAGGACGGAGCAGACACCGGTCTTCCGATGTCTGACCATTGGGGGAGATCTTCCTGGAAAAAGGGGACGGAAGAAGCCATGACATGGGAGTGAAAGGATCTTCCTGGACCTTTTTCTGGGACATGCCATGAACAAGATATTCCTGGAGGAGGACGGTGGTCTGGTCTCTATGGGTGAACGGGTGCCGGGCAACAGCTCAGCTCGACCGGAGGAGTTCGACGGAAGAGGAAGAAGCGGACGACTTCGAAAGGAAGACTCGACCAGTCTACCCATGGGTGAGAGGTCTCCCATATTAAAGTACAAACCGTCTATCCTCATACCAGTAACAGTGGATGATGATGGTTCAGTTGCGCCTTTCTCTAAAATAGCGAAAGCTGTTTACTAAGTGTTACAGGCGACAGGACAGACCCAACCCATATAGCTCCATCGAGCCTAGCAGGGTTTCAGTTTGGGCCAGCAGTGTCCAGAGTAGAACAGCGGAGGGTTTGGAAAAGTAAAGCTTCCCAGCAGAACCCAAACATGACCCCTGTTTTTGACAAGAAAAAAGTCCAGGTATTGGTGATCCGAAGGAACGTCATCTCAAAGCAGGCAAAGCAGTACGATGCACCCCAATGTGCCACCGCAGTTGTCAATCTATTTTGCGCTGTGAAAAGCGGATTTGTCGCTCGTCTCTTCTTGGAGCTTATGCCCAAGGACCCCGAAAACATGTGTTGTTCACCAGGGTCCCTCAATGATCTTTAAAAGAC